ACTGGAATATAAATATTCCTCCTGACATCACAATACTGAGTGAAGAAAGTCACGTTATCTCAGCATGAAGACAGACATCAGTATCAGTCATTCATCCTGCTCTCTGTCCCTCCTCTACTGAGGACACTCACTGTCTGCAGGTCGGCTGCCTCAGGTACATGTTCAGATAAAGTGTTAGCCTACATACAGACAGCTTTCATTTTAGTTTGTCTTTAACAATTTGCTGTTAGCAACGCAAGAGCAATGTGCTTGTGTAAACCGCGATCAAAAATCATAATAGCGGAGAATGAGAGACTGAGGACAGAGCAGATTGAAATATGGCTTTCTAAATGCTGATCACATGTATTGATAAAGTATTGGCTTGGCTGGCAGAGGTTTTATCGCACTTACTCACAGTAACAAGTGTAGTAGATAGATAGATAGATTGGTGTCAGACTGTCGTTACAGCCCATCCGAGCGGTTCATGCCAGGCTCGAATCAAACCCCCTACTGGTGATGTAGGCATCGTCTCATTTGATGTTGCTCAATAAGACTGTCATCGTATTTTTTTTCTCAATAGACGCAGGTGTCAAAGCCGTGTTGACAGGAAAGAGGCAGGGGAGAAAACCGCAAAATCATCTGGGGCAGTGCAGGCGGGGCATCAAGGCCACTGTGGCCTTAGGGCAGATATTTTTTTCAGGGGCACAGGGCCAAATGAGGAGGGCACGAGAGCCGTGGCCCTCGTGAAATTCCTGCCCTGCCTGTGAGGCAAATTGTGATTTGTGATATTGGGCTTTATAAATAAAATTGAAATTGAAATTGAAAATTGGAAATTGAATTGTATGTTTGTGTACGGCACTTCAAATGTAGCTCCTGCCATCTGCTTGCGCTTTTTAGGTGACTACAACAACATTTCGGCTGGCACATGAACAGACACAGTGACTCAAATAATAGTAAAAGTAATAAAAATAGGACAAGAATAACCCGATGACATCACACACGTCGTGAAAGACGACCGGGGATAATTGGTGTGTACCATCGTGTAGTCTCTCATGTCTTTGGCCAAGTCATAGCATGATTATATGACTCCACAATTGTGTAATGTGACATAGTGACTTTCAGAACGGGCAGAAGTCGTGTAGTGTGTACCAGGCCTAAATCGTCCTTTACTGTTTCTCCCTCTTGCATGTTGCTCATTTTCAGTGTGTGACTGCAGCGTGTGCATGAGAGGGGGAGGCGAGCGGAGCGGAGCAAAGAGCTCTCTTCAGCGCTGCTTTTCTGAAGCAAAACAAAAGTTTACATGTTCTAAAAAGAAAACAGCGCATGTCCTGCAATGTGACTATCGTACATCGCGATGACGATGTTCAAACGATATATCGTGCAGCCCTACTTTGATGCGTGACTGACAGACAGTAGTCTTCTTTAGAACTTTAGAACTTTATTTTATTTTTGTCCCCAGTGGGGCAATTCATTTGCAGGAGTGTGGACATGACATATAACATACATATACATATACATATAAAACAACAAAACACAGAGGCAAGGCACAGATATACACACTGAGCATCACTTACTGCTGCTGGTCGCTGCTTGTGCATGCGCCCTCTACTTCTTAGTGTTGACAGAATGCTGACCTGCAATCTGTGAATTGTTTGACAATACAACAACTACTACAAGAGAAACATTTACGTTTTATGGTGTTTAAAAAAAAAAAGTCAATAAATCTGAGCTGCAGTTTAGGGCAGGTAGCACTATGGTCACTTTTTTGTATTTTTGAATTTTGTAACTGACATTTAGTGAAGTGTAACTCAGGCACACACTGGCCCTCATTTATCCATCTTGCATGGAAACGGGTGCAGATCTGAGCGCAGGATTCATCTTACGATAGGACACACGTGTGATTTATGAAACGTTCGTATCTGACCAATCCCAGCGTACGAATGATCAGGCCTTGATAAATGCGGCGGCTGAAATCAATCGTCATTAGCGTGTCAAGCCCTTAAATATTTGTGGTTCAGAGGCCTCGCTCTTTGAGGTCACAACATGGAGAGGAGAAACATTGCAAAGCAGAGACACTTTTCCGAGCTGGAAATCGACACCCTCACGTCTGAGGTGGAGGTAAATAAAGATGGGCTTTTTGGAAGTTTAAAAACTGGCATTAAAGGAGCCCATAAAAACGCTGTCTGGAAGAAGATCACGGAGGCAGTCAACAGTGTCGCTGCTGACAAACGGACTCCAGCTGAGGTTTGAATAAAATTGTCAATAAGTATCCTGTCTAATGATGATGATGATGATAAAAAAAAAAAATGAATCTTTTATTCATCCATAGCCTAATAGCCTATGCCATGTAGTTGATCAAGTCACAATTCTTTACATTTAGGTCAAGAAAAAGTGGTCAGACTTAAAGCTGGCGACAAAAAAGCGTGTTGCTGCCCTTAGGCGCAGCAGCACGCAGACTGGAGGATGCCAACCAGACCCCAGCCTGACCCTGACAGGGACCGAGGAAAGAATCTCCCCACTAATTGGGTCAGAATCTATCTCTGGCATAAGTGGTGGTGATGGAGACACAGACGCACTTGCATCGGAGCCGGAGCAGAATGGTAAGTAACAGCCCTCCTTTTGCTTGCATTACAGTTAATTTAACCCTGACCGTACACTATTGTCCAAATAAATTGGCTTACACGTGTTACACAGGTACACATTTTTATAGTTTCGTTTAAATGCTGTTTCAGAGCCAGGCACCAGTGGCATGGCGTCCAGGTCTTCTCCCCAGAGTGGTCCCATCGAGCCAGACCCAACAAGCCAGGCAACCGAGGGCGAGCATGTGCCCTCCGCCTCCCGTGCTGGGCCAAGACCAGCAATCATCACGGCAGAGGTCCTGGAAAGGCAGGCACAAATTAGCCGTTTATTGGCTTCAGTTGTTAGCACGCTTGAGACAATTAATAACACACTAAAAGAAATGAACGAGAATCTAAAAAAAAAGACCTGAATAAAATATTTAAATGAATAAACGTTGTCCATTGTCTGTATTGAATATCCCTTTAGCCAATAGCCCCTAGGCTATACTTGCATTACATTACTGATTAAATATTGTAGAGCACTTACACAACTTTAAGGTATACTTTACATTTTAGAAGCGATGAATGAGGTCCTGTCTCCTCCGTATAGCCCCCAGTGGAGGCTGGTTCCCTGGTCATTGGTTCATCTGGCTGCGCCGGCACATCAGACGGCACAGATTTCTGTTTGTGGATGTCAAATTTTAGAGTATAATAATGTATAGGCCTATCTATTAAATGTATAGTTATCATGTTTAGGCTGTTTAGCCTATCGTTATTTTTTATTTTCCAAAAAAATCAGTAGGGCCTATCAGTAAGAACATAGGCTGTTTTATGTTATTTTATTTTATTGTTTTATTCGTTTTGGGAATCCTTTTTTAATATGTAGGCCTACTGAATATGTGGCTGCTTGTGCTTAGATGACAAGTTTGAGCTTTGTTTAATAATTACTTTCAGACTCAGCCAGGTTTTGCTGTACTGCACCGCAAATCCACACTGAATCAAACTTGCGTACACGAGCTGAGACGTGACGTGAGATTTGATCGTAGCGTCCGCTCACATCCAAATTGATAAATGCCGAGCCTTGCGTGGAAATGGTCGTGCGCGCAGTTTTCTGCCATACGTTCGTTTGATAAATGAGGGCCACTGTGTTTTGCCATTTTTAGGGTTAGTGGGATGCATGTGAGGCATGGGCCACACTGCTCCTCAGATGTATTATTATTTTACTGTTATTTGCACATCATGTCTCTCTCTGGCAGATTGGACCAGATGGGATGGCCAGACTAAGCAGCTCAGCTCTCAACAATGAGTTCTTCACCCATGCCTCCCAGAGCTGGAAAGAGAGGCTGGCTGAGGGTAAGTGATTGGTCAACCATGAACAGGCTGCCACATTTTGCAGAGACTTCTGCCATGCTTAAATATTCACATTAGATGGAACTATGGGTAAGGAGTTAGGGATAGCAGAAGCAAAACCAGCAGACAGATGACCAAAATGTTGATATGAAAAAATATGCGAAGAAATCATAAATGCAAGCAGAGAAATTTGCTCCAAAAGGCAACAATTTGCTCCAGCATTCTTTACATGGTGTGAATAAATAGGAAGAATAGCAGTGTCGAAATAATAATAATACATTTTATTTATACAGCACTTTTACAGCTCTCAAAGACGCTTTACATTTAAAACCAGAGAAAAGAAGTACATACATGTAAGTGCAAAGACATAAACAGAAGACAAGGACAATATAAAACAACAAGGTGCAAAAGCATAGTGCAAAAACAAAGAAATAATCCAATGACAGACACCTTTGCATGATCTAAGTGAACCAGTCCATACAGGGACCTGTCTTTATACTTCTGATGGCAGCACTGTCCTGGAACATTACTACTACACCTGCTGCTTATCAGAAGTCACCATACATAAATGATCCCTGGGGTCAAACTGTGACTAATTATTTAAACAAGTGAAGGGTAGCTAAGTCAGGTTTATACAAAAACTTATACTGATTGTTAGGGTTGACCCGAATCATTGTTTGACACATTTAGGTGAGTTCACCCATGAGATGCAGGTGCGTTTCCGGCAGGAAATGGAGAAAGAGAAGAAGGTGGAGGCGTGGAAGGAAAAGTTTTTTGAAGAGTACCATGGGCAAAAGTAAGAGCCAATCCATTCCATCTGACTTTAAATTCAATGTTTACACAACAACCATATAAGTTTTCAGTCATAGTTTTATTTAGAAAATCCTTGTTGTAGATCTTCATTTTGACAAGGCCACTGTTATATGCCAACAAATATCAGTGTTTCTGCCATGTGCTAAAGCGTTGTTTGTGTACCTGTAGGTCTGGCCTGACACAAGAAGAGTCCTTAAAGCTTACCATGAGTGAAGCCAATGAAGTTGCAGCCAGTGTGCTGGACAGTGATGTGGCTGTGGTTGCAACTGGTGCCCCCAAAAGACGCAGTGTGGGTCGGCGTAGGAGAGACGGCAGAATGCGGAGACGCACGCGAGCTGACCTGCGTCGGAGGGCCCGTCGTACCCTCTGCAAGGCCACTTCTCCAGCGCTGCAGTCTGCAGAAGCAGCTGAGGCCAGCACTGCACTGGACATCTCAGCGGTCTCTCTTGGATCTCCCATGTCCGACAACACGGTGGTTCAAGGCGAGGTGGTGCTGCAGGCTGAGTGTGGCGTGGAGCTCCCAGCTGAGAGTGCCGCCATAGAGCCAAAGCCTTCTCCCACTCCAGAGCCAGTCACACTGCCAGCCTCCACTCCTACTCCCACTCCCAGCCCCAGCCCAGCCTCCACCAGCGCAAATGAAGAGCCCGAAGCTGTGGCCCGCCTGCTCCCAGAGGAGGCTGCACCTGCACTGGCTTCCACCTCCTCACCTTCCTCCTCCTCCTCCTCCTCCTCCTCTTCTTCGTCTGCCTCATCGCCTGTCTCCTCACCCTCCTCACCTTCTGATAGACAGGGAGCTTTTGCTGCAGGACTGGACTCTTCGTCATCCTCCTCAGCTTCCTCCAGTGCTGCAGTAGCTGCTGACCCCCTGGATGACACCGCCTCCGTAATCACCTCCATCACAGGGGGCACCACCACCAGCAGCCGTGAGAGTAGCCCCTCAGCCAGCCCAGCCACCACCCCTGTACCCAGTGCTCAGCTCAAGGAGCAGAAAAGAAGGCCAGATGAGACTCAGGCCTTCTCCAGCTTCCCCGAAAAGAGGCCGCGGCTTGACGACCGTCAGTCCTTTCGTACCACAATTGACAGTGTCCGTTCGGAGAAGCCGCAGCCGACTACAGAAGAGCCCAAGGTGCCGCCTATCAGGGTAAGACTGTGTGCACAGATTTTTTGCCTCTTCAGCAATTAGTTGTTATCCAGGTTGTATCTGACTCACTGTCCATGTTTCTCTGTCCCAGATTCAACTGTCCAGAATCAAACCCCCCTGGGTCAAAGGTCACCCCACCTACCAGATCTGTCCCCGGATCGTGCCCCCCGGCGAGGGTTCGCGGCGGTCGGGGACGGGGGGCGCGCGTACCCTGGCGGACATCAAAGCCCGTGCCCAGCAAGCCCGTGCCCAGCGCGAGGCCGCTGCTGCTGTTGCAGCCACTGGCGACAGGGCAGGGCCGGCCGGGGTCAGGCTGCGGCCTGCTGCTGGGCTACAGGATAGCAGCAATGGACGACGAGCACGAGAACATCCAGGACCTATCGAGCCAGGAGGAGGAGGAGGAGGAGGAGGAGGAGGAGGAGGAGGAAATGGAAGTGGAAGAAGGGGAGGTGGTGGGATGGAGGAGCAGGGATCGTCTTCAGGCACTAATTCGTCTGGAACACAACTACAGCTTCTCAATGTAGAGCCTACGCCCCAACCACCCCCCTCCTTGTCCACTACCTCAACCTTTATTTCCCTGGAGCCCCCGCAGACCCCAAGCCCTCCTCAAGAGGAGGCAGCTGGGAGGCCTGAGACTGGAGAGGATGTAGAAGCAACATCAGCCAGTGTTCAGAGCTCGTCTACTGGTATCACAGAAAAGGCAGCTGATTCATGCTCTTTAAAGTCTGAGGTGCCTGAGCCTGTTGCCGCCTCCTCAGAGATGGCTCACCAGGGTTGTGAAAAACCCTTACTGGCACCGACCTCCATTCCAGATTCCCTTCCCAGGTTTGGGGCTCAGGGTGTGGATGTGATTCAGACGCTAGCCAGCTCCTGTCAGCCCAAAGATCAGGTCCAAGGGAAGGAGGCTGCATTGGGTGGTGTAATCCAACATGGCTCCCACCACGTGGAACCCCAGGAGGTGTTTTCTCACTCAGCTGCAGAGAGACGGCAAACAGACGTATCCTCTCTCCAACAAGCAGACTCCTCTGGCGGAGAGAAAGACGACGAGGCTGCGACACATAGTGATTCCACAGAAACAGCCTCTGACTGTGAGAATGACATCCAGGAGGATGAGCAGCCACAGCCTGACCAGGACTGGTGCGCTCAACTGAACATTCAGCGAAACGGCCAGCTGGTCATCTGTAGCCCTCCTCCTCAGAACCAAAAGCCAGTCATCCAGGCCCACATGTCCAGCCGCCAAGGTCAGACTGTCATTCAGCCTTGCTTTCCCAAGGGTCTGCCTCACCCTCAGCACAGCGATCTTCAGTCTCTCCCCCCAGTCCAGCTGCAGGGGATCAGGGACAACAACACTGTGGTCAAAGTGGAGCCTGGAGATGATTGTAGAGGCTCCAGACAGAGCTCGACTGAAGAGGACTGCCGTGGAGGATTAAAGCCGTCTGTCACACATCCAGTTGCTTCAGCTGCCTCCAAGAGAGTGGCCAGCTCCATCAGACCAGTGTCCAGTGTGGAGGCCAACAACCCTTTGGTCACTCAGCTGCTACAGGGCAGCCTGCCTCTGGAGAAAGTTCTACCCTCGCACTCTGCCAACAGGCTGGAGATCAGCCGATTGCCAGGACCCCAACCCAGGCCACCAGTGGCACGGACCCAAGGGCCTCGTCACAGGCCTGAGGTCTTAGCACAGTCTCCTAGCCCCGAACTGAGTGCAGCCTCACAGATACACAGCAAGTCTCCAGCAGGTCACCCAGTCTCCTGTCTGATGGAGGCCCCGGCTGCATCACAGTATCAGTCTCAGCAGGCCCCCGGGGCTGTCCCGGTCATCACCTCTCTGCCCACCTCCTCATCCTCCTCCAGTTCTTTGTCCTTTAGAAGTAAGTCAGACCTTAGCTCTCAGCCCCCTGTGGGCTCTGCAGTTATAAAAGACTCTCATGGTCCTCAGCCCCCTCAGGGGGTCACTCCAGACAGGCCCCAGCCAGCCCACCGAACCATGCCTAATGGCCCCTCTCCTCCACATGCAGACCCCTGTCCCACCGACGTGGTGCCTACCATTAAGATTAACTGGCGCCCTCCCCAGTCTCATCTCCCCCACTCTCACCAACAGCAGCTGTCTCCTGCATCCACCGTAAAGAATGAAGGCAGTGTGCGGCCCACGTGTCAGGCCCTTGCCAAATCATCCCCCATTAAACCCATGAGTGTTACCAAAAAGGAGCCTGGGAGCTCTACGGACGGCTACCTGAGCGGAGGGGCCATGGAGGGACTCCTCAACATGGAGATGACTTTAGCCAGGATGACAAAGAAGGAACACAGCAAAGCTACCTATTCCTCTGGCTCTCCCTCCTCCTCCTCCTCCCCCTCTCCCTCCTCCTCTGCCTCAACCCTTCCCTTCCAGCTGTATGGGAAACTCCCCAAGCATGGTGGCATCGGAGGGGTGAGCTACACAGCCAATGTGTCAGTGATGGACAGCGGCAGTTTCTCCCGGAGCATGGCTGACAGTGTGCTCCAGCTGCGCCCACGCATGGCCTCCAGCCAGACCACCCTCAGCATCCAGGCCTTTACTGACAGTACAGCTGAGGAGGTGGCTCTCAAGTGTTCGTGCCGCCTCAAAGCCATGATCATGTGCCAAGGCTGCGGTGCATTCTGCCATGACGATTGCATCGGGCCCTCCAAACTGTGCGTGTCTTGTCTGGTGGTCAGATAGTATGTTGAAGTCCCTGTGCACTTTAGAACTGCTATCTGGACTGGGAGGCTCCAGAGTGTACAGAAGCCTGATTAACATAGAGCACACAGGAGGAGCCTGACAGGCAAGATTTGCCTTGTATAATATGACTGGTCTGTATTTTTGTTGTTGCAGATTTTCTGATTTTTTTTTTTTTTTTTTTTTTTTTTTTTTAGCTGTACTTATATATTATTATTATGGTTATTGTTGTTGTTATTAATATTAATTATTATTATTATTGTGACTTTGGGGCATGGTTGATTGTAACTTGTGCCTTTTTTGTTTTCTTTCCTCAAAAACATTTACCTCATCTTATCTTGCACCACCTGTCATCATTTGGTGGCCATCATTGTTTTGGTCCTTCGTCTGCTTAGTGGACAGGGACTTATTGTTGTCTCTTTGCGCAAAGAAGTATTTTTTTAACCATTAAAATGAGTAAATGACATTGTTTCATTGGTTTGTGTTTTGCCTCATTTCATGGTTCCCTTTAACTCCTGTCTGTAAAGTACAATGAACAAATAAAGTGATCATTGAACGGTGATAGGGTCCTTGAAGCCTTTGATGAACAGAAATTAATCACAAATACAGAGCACGTCCAGTATGACAGCCCCAGACAGCCCTTTAGGTTCAGCCTATAGACAGATTCGCTCTGAAAGTCCACCATGTTGACGATAGCGGTGGTCCATACCATGGAATACCAGGATGTTCATATCAAAATGGCTAATGCACAAGCTTCTAGAGGAGAGCAGGGTGTCATTCATCAGATGAATTCAGTCAATCAATGACTAAATTGTTACATGAATTACACAAGATGCAACTTCAGTGAAATTTGATCCCATCAGCTCCTTTAACTTGGGCTCTGTAGTCCTTTTTTGCATCTTCTGACACTGTTGGCTGCTGCTTTATAATTGTCTGTTTTTGCAGATGGTTCTGCTTGTGGAATTAACTATCCACACATCCCAGTCGCTCCATCCAGACAGTGCTGCTCTGCAGCCACCTCAGACTGAATACAGTGATTCACAGCATGACTGAGACAACTCTTATTTTCATTGTCACACCAGTCCTTATTCAGTGTTAAGCACTTGCTGCTCTCCGTCTCTCATCAGAGTCCTCTGGTAGGTCTTGATATCCACTGAAAACTGCTGTGACACAGAGGCCGTCAAAAAAAAATTTTTCAACACCTGTGTAATGGCTAGCAGGATGCGAGTTTGGCTGATGCCCATTTCTTCTCCATCTTTCCTTTGTTTACTGTTGTCTACATTTTAAGTGTAAGAAGTTGGCGGGAGAGTTTAGGGACTGGTGAGTTGATTTCCTCATTCTGATGAGTGACTCGTAGCTACACACCACCACCGTCCAAAGTCAACCACAAAAAGCACCAAGACTTGCAAAAATAGACAAAAGAGCCTAAGTTTAGCAGAGCTGACAAAAAGGCAGCTGAAAGCATCCGAGCCATGCTACGTCATTCGTAATAGACTACTTCTGAATATTTCCATTACCACCAAATGATTTACCAAATATTAAGCATTTATTGTAATGAATGTGTTAACTACTCAATCTCATGCATGTGTGCATTCTCTCTGAATGTGACTTTCCTTTGGTGTTTATCCCATGGATACCCAAAACAAGATTAAGTGTCAGTAGTGCTGATCTGCCCAACCTCAAATAAAGGATGCAAGCTGCTGGCTCGCTTGAACAGAACACTGATCAGCACTACTGAGGAGGGATTGGGGACAGAAACATCTGTGTGAAGCCTCCCAATGAGTCACTGCAAAGGGAAGCAGGCAGTAGGCTAATACATGTGACAACATGGCTGTATTAAGGAGGATGTAGTCACTTTCATTACCAATACCAGTGAATTGGCTTTAACACATAAGTGATCAGGTTATGGGGTTGGGGGGAGCACAGCAACAAATAATTAACCAGAGTTTGTAACTTAGAGTCCTACACCCCAAAATAATACAGCAAAATGTTGAAGTTTGAGTCAATACAAAAATACAACCAGTCTGGTCCACCTTTACTGTGGGTTAACCTTTATTTCAAGAGCAACTCAAAGACTAATCCATACACAGCCATTGTTAACACATAGACAGTCCAAAATAAATATTCACCATCACTTTGTTCTTCATCACCAAGTAAATACCAAATATGTGCAGTTCAATATTCCCAGTGTATTGCAATGTACTCAAAATAGTTTGTGAAAATAAAAAGGAAAATCATATAAACAGAAGCAACAAAACAAAAAAATCTTTAGAAAATTATTAAAAAACTTTCAGTTACAAAATATTTGCACTTAAAAAGATTCCAGTATTTTAAATAAATAATAAGATATATAAAACAATTCATAGTTGATATCTTAAAATATTTCCTCTTTGTTCAACAATGCAGAGGAAATTATTCCCTTATCTTGGTTACCCTTTAAAATCTTCTCAGGTAGCATTTTGAAATTAAAAAAAAAAAAAAAAAGTTAATAAATAGATAATGAATAATAAACAGGCCAACATAAAAAAAAATAATACAGAAGACATGAATGAATAATTTATTAAACCAACATTTGCAAAGGACTTATAGTTATACAGCAATAGTAAGAATGAATCTACAAACTAGTCCTGGAGGTGCAACATCACTACGCTCATACAGAATACTATCAACATCATTGTGTAGAGATGGGATATGTTCACTAACTAAGAGAATCTGCTCAGCTCAGGCTGTATACTGCACTCTGTGCCTGCCTCTGTGTATACCTGGAGATGCCTTTGCTCACAGTAACAGTTTAATTCCAGTGTGTTAGCACACTTTACGTCCACACCCTTATCAGTTCACGCTCATACCATCAAAAAGCAACATGCAAACAGCAAACTAATGCAGAGAACAGATGACAGTTCCAAATGAGAGGAAGAATTACATACAGTATCTAAAGGGTTTGGAAAGAAAGAGTGGTGTAGTCACTGTGATGCCGCGCCCCCTGTCCTCCTCAAGTTCCGTCACACCTCGATGCCCTTCACTGCCTGGTTGATGGACTCAAGTAGAGCCCGATTCTCAGGGTTCTGGTAGCAGTCTTTATTGGTAAACATGTGGGTCAGGGTTTCCACATAGCTGTCAAAGTTCTGCTCTGACAGCGGCTCCTGCTGAACACACACAAGTTCACAAGTCACAACTTGACAAAGTTTGAGTCAAGTCAGATAAGTCTTGAGTCTTTAAAGAATAAGCGTTGTACACTTCCACTTATTACTCACACATAGGGCTGGGCAATATGACTTAAACATAATATCATGATATTTTTAGGCTATATAGCAATACATGACACATACATTACAACAGGTGCCCACACAGTCATCTCTGACAGTTGGTAGATGTCTAACAACGGCTACATGAGAAGTGGGAGAGGGTCATAGTTTTACAGGTCACATGTAATTTACCTTTCTCTGTGTCTGTCTGTCTGTCTGTCTGTCTCTCTCTCTCTACATATATATATATATATATATATATATACACACACACACACACACATATATAGATTCAGGTTACTATTAGGGTTAGGGTTGGGGTAAGGCATTTAGTTGTGATGGTTAAGGTTCGGGCCAAGAAATGCATTATTTCAATGACTCACAAAGGTAGAAGTGCAAGTGTGTGTGTTTGTGTGTGTGTGTGTGTGTTTCATAATTTGTGTAATCTGTAATCATAATCTGTATATATAAGTAATGAATGTTTAGGGGCAATAAAAAAACAGTTAAGAACAACATATTAATACAAAATCATAGATATCAGTTGTAAAAAAAAAATAAAAAAGGGCAGAGTGTGAGCTCAGAGGAGATGAACTCCAGTTTTTATGTGTTGTTGTGTTGGTTGTCTTTTAGGCTGTGACATGCACTGACATATTTTGCTGCTTCTATGGTGCTGACACTATTTTCTCCAAATAGTTGTTACTTTTCAGTCTGGACAGAGAGTGTATCCAAATCTTGGAATTTACATTTTTGTAAAGAACTTTGTTCTGATGCCTCAGCAACACAAACTCAGCAGGGAGCCTTCGTTGCCGCTTGTTCTCTGAAGTAGGTTTAGTTTGTCTGGGCCTTTAGGGGAGGTGGGCCTAAAGACCAGCTGGCTAAGGGGACTCTACTCTGTGTTCTGCTGTTGGCAATGTAGAGCGCTGTAATGGTAGGAGTTAAGGTCACTTGTTTTTAGGTGTTTGTAGAATTTTATTGTTCTTTTTTTGTATCCTAATTAAAAAGGGAAATGGCTTAGTTCAGCTCAGCATTCATTTCTGGGGGTGTTTCTGTGGACTCTTGAGTATACTCTTGCAAATCTCAGAGTGTAGAACTTCAATTCAATTATAAAAAGTTCTCCTACCCTTGTCTCTGAGATTATTAATGACCAGATTGAAATTTCCTGTTGAGCTAATTTTGAGTCCCAAATATTTTTTAGCTGTGTGTGTGTGTTCTATGTCAGTGGAGCCCAGTAGAAACCTGTTTGGGTTTCCCTGACACCGAGGTCATTTCTGGAACACCATAAATCTAGTCTTTTCCAGATTAATTAGGGCCCAGGTCTGACAGAAGTTTTGCAGATGATCTAATTGCTGTTGTAATGCTTCCTTAGCTAACAATATTAGATCATCTGCAAAAGTAGGTATTTAATATCTGTGTCAGAAGGACTGAGACCAGGGATATCTGACTTCTGGACTTGTGGATCAAGCCTTCGCGGACTTCAGTTGTACGGAGTGTGACGTATGTACCATCATCACATAAAGTCTGCGAGGGCAGAGACTGCAAGCAGCTGATAGACAGCCCTCAAGACCGTTTTACTCATTGCCGTGGAAACGTTCAACTGTCGCTGCTGTCATATTCATATATATGTCTTATGAATAGTGCCTACTCATCTTGTTTGTGAATAAGGACAGGACTGAAACTCTAAAAATTGGGTATTACTTACATTAGAAACCTTCTTTTGTTGTTTTTCAGCAAATTATTTTTGCCTATTTCACTGCCTTATATTGCAGCCTGATAGGCTGCAATGATAAAAATGCATTTTCAGTCCCTCTACAGCCTAGACTTATACATATCCCCGTATCATGATGTGATTGAACAGTATTTCTGGCCTACACAATTCAAGAAGCATTTTAATAGACCTAACTATCAATAACTATTTTACACATTCATAAGTTTTTTTTCCCCCGCATTTTAAAAACCCACATCACATCCGTGTGGCAATGAAATGTGGGTTATCTAATCAGTGAAGTCTGCTGAAGTCTGCACCCCAAGCGGACTCTCTGCAAGTCTGCAGAGAGTCCGCTTGAGGCCCCTTGTGGACTGGCTGAATTTGGAGATTAGATTTGGAGCCCTAAGCACTCCCGGACTTCCCAGGAACGTGCTGGCAAAGTCCGCAAGTCTGCAAGTGCGTCGAACATTTGGGGTGAATCCAAATGAATCCAAACTCCTATATCAGTTTGTTCTCAGTCTCCAGTTGTTTTAATTATGATAGATTATTGAAATGCTTTTCATGTGATTTGTAATTTATGTTCATGGTTCAACCTCCAGTTTTACATAAATT